CCGTAAAAATTATAATTTGCGTAATTACGGGTGGTAGGACCTCTTGTGAGTCCGCGCGGGTAGGTACCACCGCCCTGCCTATTTCAGCCGTGAAGCAGTAATGCGTTTCGGCTTGAAGGGAGGGGCAGCCGTTGTAACTATACTGAGATCTTAGAACTGATATCTCAAGGTGGGTGGCGCATTTACGTTATAGATCTATGGGCTCCAGTAACCACTTAACACCAGGTGGGCTATGTGCTCGTCCACCCATCTAAGCAATAAAAAATATAAAATTAAAAGTTCCTCACCGGATCTTCTGGGCAAGCCGGGATTCGGATCGGATGGTAGATACACTCGAGAAGAAACTGCTGTCATCCGCATAGCAATGCATGCCATCAATAGACAGCATGTCATTGATTTACAGGATTAAAAGAGCAGGGGAGAGAGTGAAACCTTGAGGAACCCCAGTGTTTATGGTGGTGATATCAGTGCAGCAGCTGTCGACGAAATGTGATGATCCAATTCCAAAAAGCTAGCATCACTTGCCAAAGCTTTCCTCGGGGGACTCTGCAGACTTTGGCCCCGTAACTTATGGAAAGGACGTACCTTCATAGTAGACTCTGTCTTAGCTAGCCGCGATATCAAGAGTCAAAGAGCCTCGCTTTTGTTCTTGGAAGGCTTCAGCCATCGGATGTACGTGAGGTATATAAGAATATTACTTTAAAAGAATATTAAACGGCCGTCTCGTGTGTAGTAGTAAGTGGACCATGGTCTACAACAAAGGGGAGTACGCGGGTTCGAATCCCGCCAAGGGAAGATATTTGTATGATAACTATTTAATGACTTTTCCAAGGTTATGGATGTATATGAAATATATGTATGTGTATAATAAAAATCATACATTTATTTCCGTTATCTGGTACCTGTAACACAAGTTCTTTACGAACTTAGCACGGGACCAGTTAACGTGGCGTGATTGTTAGTAAATATTTATTTAAAAAACAAAAAAAAACAAAAAAAAAAAAAAAAAATGGTCACCCTAGACGGCAGGCCCCGTTACGGCCCCCCTGAGAGTCCGTGCGGTCACCGCTCGGCCCGGGTAATTTTAAATTTGGCGCCTTATAACTCAATATGAATATGAGATGATATATAATCTATGGCAATACTTGCCTCTCTCTCACACACTACTTGTCTCTCTACTCCGTGACATCCACCGCATTGTATTTTCATCTATATTAAATATTAATAAATACAAAGTATAACTGTGTAAAACTTAGTGTTATTTATTTAATCTAACAGGTTATTCCCAGATGTAGCGTTACATTTTACCGATTACTTTTTATAATGGAAAATTTTGAAAAATATTAAACCAAATATTGTTCATAATACTGAGCTCGTAAATAGGTTATTACACGAAAAAAAAAACTAACCAGAATCCTTATTGATTACGTAGGAGAACGATATGCTACTGAACCGAATATGTGTAAGATACACACACAGGCAACATAAAAAAAATCTTATGACATCCTAAGGCAATACTTAACCTAATCTATTCTTGAGCTCGTTTCTCGACAAACGAAATCCAACAATACATCAAACATAAACCAGCGTACAGGAACAGGATCGTAAAAACGCGTTAAAAATCTAAAATAGTTCCCGGCCAGTTGCGATGAGCGTAAAAAGGTAGGTATTTAGTGTGGAGCAGAAGGGGATTGCTGTATGTACCTACAGGCGGCGCCTGCGGATATTGCCTTCCAATTGAGTTACGGATCATGAAATTACGACGAATAGATAGAATAATAATAAACCAGTGGAAATATACCATCAAACTATTTAACTTAACGTGAGGTAGATATAGATACAATTTTTTTTTATATACGAAGAGCGATCTTTTAGAAAAAATTCAAGACAACCTTCAACTGATTTTGAGTTCTATTATTAGGTATCAAGTTGAATGGCGTTATTTACGTTGAGATGTCTATGAGCTTCGGTATCAACTTAAGGTTAGTGGTTTGATTTTTATTACACGATGTTATCCCTTCACTGTGGAAGTCAATCGTGAACATTTGTTGAGTACGTATTTCATTAGAAAAATTGGTACCCGCCTGCGGGATTCGAACACCAGTGCATCGCTCAACACGAATGCGCCGGACGTCTTATCCTTTAGGCCACGACGAACTCAGCGGGCTACTCATATTAGCTTTTTTAATAGCTACTGTAACCAAGTCACGCTCTGCTGCTTGTCACAATCGCATTAATGTGTTAAGAATGCAGAAATGACAAACATAATTATAGATGTACTAGCCGTACTCGCCCGCTTCGCTGAGCATTTAAAATTAAGATTATTATATATTGTCATTATTGTTAGGGAGTCCAAAACTCATATAAATATTAGCCTATCCATTAAGTACATGTATTTTCTATATGGATACCAAGTTTCAAGTCAATCGGATGCATGGTTCAGTAGTTATAACAGAACATTCGTAAAAACCACTGTAGATTTATATATTAGTATAGATGAAGTTAATACTTACATCTTTTTTGTTGAATTAGACTCCACGCCGGCCTTGGTAGTGCTTTGTATATGATTTGTTGAGTTTCTAGAAGTTTCCTCCTCCGAGGATGGTGGCGGAGCACCTGGTCGGTAAGGACATCCAGTCATATCAGTCCCGTGATAACGATACTGTGAACGTCGCAGGATCGAAGGGTCTGACGGCCCGCATATTTTGTGTCCATTAAACAATATATATTTTACTTTAGGCGGAGCCATCGTAACCTTATATTCAACATAAAACTGTACTTTCTTCACTTCGCCGGGGTTGATTACGAAATCCGTTCTGTTGATCATAAATTCGAATATGTTCTCCTGCGTCACGCTTCCTAAGCAGTTCTAAAAAACATAAAAATTAAGATTAATTAATACAATTCAAATTGCACTTTGGCTAAAACCTCCCTTTTTTTTCCCTGGTAGCCTAAGGGGGTGTCTCAACTACGCCCAGACGGGTAGGTAGAAGTCGTCGTGCCCTAAAGGATAAGACGTCTGGTGCATTCGTATCTAGCGATGCACCGGTGTTCGAATCCCGCAGGCGGATACCAATTTTTTTAATGAAATACGTAGGTACTTACCAAATGTTGACGATTGACTTCCACGGTGAAGGAATAACATCGTTTAATAAAAATCAAACCCGCAAATCTATAATTTGCGTAATTACTGGTGGTAGGATCTCTTGTGAGTCCGCACAGGTAGGTAACACCATCCTGCCTATTTCTGCCGTGAAGCAGTAATGCGTTTCGGTTAGAAGGGTAGGGCAGCCGACGTAACTATACTGAGACCTTAGAGCTTATATTTCAAGGTGGGTGGTGCATTTACGTTGTAAATGTCTATGGACTCCGGTAACCACTTACCCCAGGGGGGTTGTGAGCTCGTCCAACCATCTAAGCAATATATATAATAATAAAAAAATACTAACACTAGCCCTAGCAAGAGCAGTGGTTTGCAGAATCTATCATCGGATCGGAATCGCGACCAAATCAAATCAAATAAAAAAAAAATTATTCAACATAAATGAAAGTACATACTTGTTGAACGTCAAAAGAACTACCCACTGAAGACCCACTGCGAAGATCCGGCGAGAAACTCAGTGAGCTGTGTCTATGGGCTATCTCACTCGTGGAACTCTTCGTCGTAATCGATGGGTTCGACGAGGACGGTGACCGGTGCCTGAGGGGTTTGAAAACACCGAAAGTGTATCCGGGGGATCCGACAAATTTAGACAATATTTCGGGCGACGGCGACTTTACGTTGCCCTGTTGACGGAGTCGCATAAGTAAATAACGACAAGAGGATTATCGTGTCGCACCGCTTTATCAAGGTAACGTTCTGACGTTACCTTAAGATACATACGGAGCGGTTCTAAATTTGAAGGGTCGTGAAGGTATACATTTCTAACATACCCTGGTGAGCTTCCCATTGAGTTTTTTTTTGGTACAACTTCCCATAGAGTCTTATCATGCGTTTCTGTACGTAGCTCTTTGGAATACAAGTAGAATCAGAATTCAAACACCGATGAAAGCAAAGATTCATCCCATAACTCAAATATTACGTTTTATTACATGATAATGAAACATGCAACAGCGTTGAAATATCGCGATCTCGCAAATAAAAAATAAAACCGTAAGCATCTATAGCCCCCAAAAATTGTATTGTATTTGATGTTAGAATTTAATTTGGAATCTCCGCTCGGTACATACAGACAAAAGGCAAGCAAAAAATGTGTAAATTTCATAAGTTCTACTTTAACCACAAAACACGAAGTTTTTACCTTAAACGCGATAGTATGGTTGTCGAAATGTACTCTTAACCACAACGAGTGCATAGTGTAGTCGCTTGATAGCTTGATAACGCCGTACCATCTACCTGGATGCTGTATGCTTGTGTCGTATTCGAAGACACTAGGGCACGGAGACACCAGCGCGTGCTGCGGCTTCGTTTGAGCTGACACCAGCAGTATGAGCAGCAGTGAAGGGATACAACTCTAAAATTATTGCTTATTACTAAGTACGGCAGGATATATTTGGGATAATCTAGTGATGTGTCTTTGATCAGTGCGCCACTCGCAATCGGCGGAAAGTTCCTTCCTTCTCCCGTAGCCGTCGTCAATACACCCTCGCCTCGGGAAGATACTGAGTATTACAACAGGTCTTTTGCAAAAGAGATTTAAAACGGGGCCATCGTGGTAGGCGCAGCTCGTCTCATAACCTGAATGCTGCTGTTCTTTTGAGACATGAGGTCACAGTACTATAGTAGGTTGACGTTGTTTGATAGAATGTAATTTATTATTGATTTCTCCACTATTTAATGGATGTTATTATACATATAAACCTTCCTCTTCAATCACTTTATCTATTAAAAAAGCCGCATCAAAATCCGTTGCGTAGTTTTAAAAATTTAAGCATACATAGGGACAGACAGATATAGGGACAGAGAAAGCGACTTTGTTTTATAGTATGTAGTGATGCTAGTCATTTATCACGGAAGTCGTGAAAATATATTAGATTACGAGATTTAGTTGTAAGAATGAAATTTGACAAAAAGTTTGAGCACCGATATAATTTGTGCACTGTCTAAAGTTTCGACTGAATCGGTAAATAATACAAACTGGACAAAGCCCCCACAACAAACCCATTTAATAGTTTTCATTACCGTCAAACGGGGTTAATAGGAATCGAGGGGTGAATGGGGATAAAATTGGGATTGAAATATTCGTATGAATAACTCTGAAAATCTACTAACCATAGCTTAAAAAATGGCAAAAATGTATAGGAGAATAGTTATTTTTTGAACTGGCAGCACCTATTTGATATGAAAGTAGAAATAAATTATCAAAACAACATTCTGAAGTTGCTTGTTTGAAAGTCCACTAGAAGTTCATCATTTACTCGATCGATTTAAACATTGTTTTTGTGATTTTTGTATCGAAACAACTATATCAGCGAGGTTCATGTTTATTCTGGAGTCTGGATACCATAATGTAATAAATAATACAAACTGGACAAAGCCCCCACAGCAAACCCATTTAATATTTTTCATTATCTAAAAGATGAATACGGCAAAAGCTACAATGAGATCGATAGGTACGTAGTATGTAACAACTTAAAAACAGCCTTTGTACGACCAGAGACCGATCGTGAACGAAATGTCAATATTTTCCTTATACTAAATACTATCACTACACCGCGCACGAAACATTTTAACTGCTTAACTCCAAAGTTCGCTATTTCGAATATAAAAAAGAACTCACCGCAATTGATATAATATTTAAAAAAGTCATTATGAACTTCTCGCACTTGTTTTGTGGGGAAAACTCCGTAACACCTGCAGACAGATTTGTGGCAATTCAATGTTCGACAATCTCAGTGTTGCAATTTTAAAATTTAAAACATCCGTATTATTAGGTTGGAAGGTAAAAGGTTATAAGTTGTTTATTTTAGCTAAGCACTTGTTGTAAGATATATCTCCAAGCATTGTAAGGTGAAGCATTCACATTGTTATGTTTAAGGTATGCAGTAACACCTTGGACTGGAATATCGTTCTCTCATCTATGCAATAGAAATAAATATATGATCCTTGATCTATAGAAAAGTTGCTTTGAATCGTAATTTTAAAAGTTATTGACTATTTCCGAAACTTTGATGCGGAATGGAAAATATACGCTATGCTGTGTAATAAGCTTATCATTACTTTAAAAGATAAGAACGACTAAGATCGAATCCTAATTGCTTGAGCATCCGTGACATTGGAACTTCTGAGCTCCGATTGGAATACTAAGTGTTTTACAACAAATATATGTTTTGTAAAATACTGCATTTTTACTCGAACATAAAAACACAGCGGTTTTAAATTTTAAAATGGCAACCCCAAGTTTGTCGAATATTGTATTGTCATAAATTTGTCTGCAGACGTTACGGAGTTTTCTCGGTGAAAGAAGTGCGCAAAGTTGATAATGGCTTTTATAAATATTATATCAATTAATGTAAGTTCCTTTTTATAATATATTTAAAAAAGTGAATTTTGAAATTAAGTAAGTAATTAAAATGTTCTGTGCGCGGTGTAGTGGTAAGAGTTTAAGGAAAATGTTGATATTTTGTTCGCGACCGGTCTCTGGTCGTACAAGAGTGTTTTTAAGTTACACATGGTTACACACTACGTATCAATCTCATTGTAACTTGTGCTGTATTCATCTATACTAATATTATAAATCTGAAGAGTTTGTTTGTTTGAACGCGCTAATCTCAGGAACTACTGGTCCGATTTGAAAAATTCTTTCAGTGTTAGATAGCCCATTTATCGAGGAAGGCTATAGGCTATTTATCATCACGCTAAGATCAATACAGGCGGAGAACCAATAAAGAATGTTTCAAAATCGGGGTTTTTCCCTTTTAAGGGCTTCCACTGCGTGCGCTGCGGAAACAGTTAAAGTTTCGCTAAAATAATGTATGAGAGAATTGTTCCCCTTTAAATAACCTATAAAAAGTCCGCGAAAGCATATGTCTATATACTAAGGTTGACCCACTATAACATTTTTTATGCTTACCAAGTTCTAAAATAAAGCATTATTTGTGAAAGTGTTTTTATGAAGATGATTTTAATCCCTATCCAAATAAATACGTTATTCATTACGAGGCTTTAAGAATTATAGATTTTTCTGGATTTCTCCAGGATCCCATCATCAGTCCTTGATGATTGCCATGCCAAAGTAACTATTCCACGCGGACGAAGTCGCGGGCAAAAACTAGTCTTTTAGTTAATAAACAATAT